TATATATTAGGAGGCATGACAACTAGTATGAATGTCCACTCTACTTAATTACACAACTCTTCACCATGATATACATTTTAATCATAATTCTGGTTTGTCTTTTCTCTTATTCCAATAGCAAGTTGGAAATAGCTTTCTAGCAAACTAGCACGCCAGATGAGGTTGCGACTAATTCATATTCACAGAAAGCAGTGCGACTACAAAGCATCCCATATAAACGGATCATTGCATTTAAATGGAACATTCATTTAGAATATTTGGCAAGTAAAAGCATTCTGAGAATTTATTCCACAATGGAAGCTATGGCCATCATGCCAGACAAGGCAAAATTATGCACCCAGGAAACTTACGCGCTTATCACTGTAACGAAGCTCTAATGAGGTATCAGGGCTTAATTTCCTTTTTCCATTCTGCCTGCACTAAAATATAGTTCACTAGCAAATGTCCAAAATTTTACAAATTAGCATAGATAGGACGGTTATAGTGAGCTGATAAAAAGCCCAGCTATGTGGGGTATAACATCAGTTTCCTCGTTTTTCCTATTGTATGATGGAAAAATCATGTCTGGTCAGAATAGAGTGCATTTTCATCAATACCTGTCAAGATAAGCACTTTTTGATAAGTGATATCATGAAACCAGTTGAATCAGTCTGGATGGTATTTAAAAGGAAGACGAAGGCAATGGCCAAAACTATCTACGTACCCTGCGACGTCAGAGGGAGCCATTAACAAGTGCTTTCGCCATCCACGCTGAATAGCGACATTTTTGCAAGAGCCACCAGTCAAAGAGTTGGTGCTGTGTGAGTGAGGTAGCTGATTATTTGTTTGTGCAGATGAAGTGACGGACGCTAATGTCGGGAGTGACGAAGAGGAAGATGAGGTGCAGGGCAAGCCCGATACAATATGCGGGCGACCAGGCAGATTGGCACCGCAGGAGGTGCAGAGGTCGGGATCGCACTCGCGAACGGCTAGCAGACAAGGACAAACCTTTGTGTTACATTGACCTCGACATCGGCAACCCAGGAAGCTTAGGAGAGAACAAAAAAATAAATGTCAGCAAATAAATAATAATATATAAAGTAAATAATTAAAATTATATAAAATGTGTGTCTAGCACGTAATACTTCCTGGAATCGAAG